GCCGGGGAGCAGCCCTAAACCAGCAGGCTGTCATCCCCCGAGGGGTCCCAGACTGTGAGAGGGCACAGGCCGGGCTGAGGGACCCCCCTACGCCCCGTGCACAAATTTTTGTGCACCGGGCCTCTAGTATTATATAAGATATTTTATTTACTACCCTGTTGAATATGTTTGTGTCCACATTCATGAGGGATATTAATCTATAATTTTTTCTTTCTGTAGCAGAAAGAAATTTATTTAAACTAAAAAACAAACCTATAAAACAAAAAACACCTTTGACTGACAGTTATGCCAAATATAGGATTCTTTTACAGGTTGACAATTTTATTATTTTAACACTTTTAATACATTGGCTTACTGCCTCATGGCCTCCAAAGTTCTTCATGAGAAATCTGCCCTTATTCTTACTGAGGATCCCTTGTATGTGACGAGTTCATTCTCTCTTGCTATTTCAAGATTCTTTGTCTTTTGAAAGTTTGATTATAATGTGTCTCAGTGTGGGTCTCATTGAGTTAATCTTACCTGAGTTCATTAAACTTCTTGGATATTTATATTCACGTTTTTCATCAAATTTGGGAATGTGGTAACTCTGGAAATCAGATTCTTCCCCTTCTGTGAGGCTTTCCAGGTCCTGAATTATTTTTATTTATTGTCTTTCTTTTTTTTATTATTATTATAGGCTGTCTCTGGGCCAACAATGAGCCTGCTGTGAAAACTAAGGTCTTTTCAGGTTTCACCGGAGCCTTTTCCTATATGACCACTTTCTAATTTTCCCTATAGATGCAGTTGTTTTTTTTTAATGTTTGGTCCCCAAAAGGAATAAAAAGGAAAAATGAAATGGGGGAAGGAGAAGAGCACTGGCCCTTTAAATCTCATGGTAGTCATTTGGGGGGAGTGAGGCCTAGCTTGCAACAAAGCAGGAGAGGCAAGAACAATGGTTGCCTGCCTCTTTGTTTGCAAGTGTGTATCAGATGAAGCAATTATCTATCAGAGAACAGATCCCCAAAAGTTAAAGGACAAGGTCTTTTTTTGGCCATCCTAGCTCCCACAAGCTGTTGTAAGCTACTCCTGAAACATGGATAGAGCTGCCTCCATGTGGCTGGGGGGGGGATGTACAGGGACGGGTAGCAGCTACTGTGCTAAGATCTGAAAATTAACCATAATTTACCTTCAAAGTCTCCCCCTGAAACTTGCAAGCCTTCAACAAACTCAAGAGTTCCAAATTAGTTACAGATTCAGGCAGTGCAATTGTTGTCTAGGTAGGCAGTTATGATTCCTAATGTTTATTATGCCATCTTCCCAGAATCCTCCCTCAAATATCTTTTAAATTAACTTAAAAAAAAGGAGAAAGTCATGTGTCCACATAATTACCACTGTAGACACAAGTTTCCACCTGGTATCATTTTCCTCAAGTCTGAAGGATTTCCTTTACCATTTCATAAAACAGAAATCCAGAAGGAGGTAATTAGTCTCCAGCAATGGTCCTCAACTCCAGCTGCACAAACTATATATATACATATATATACATATACACACACACACACATATATATATATATACCTAAGAAGCTTTAGAAACAAATAAACAGTATCTCTAGACCCACCCCAACCCCAGAACCAACAGAGATTTTAAAATTGTTTTAAAATTGGTGTGGGGTAAGTCAAGGCATCTGTATTTTCTTCAAAGCTTCCGAAGCTACTTTATTGAGCATCCAGGGTTGAGAACTTGTGATGCATACCTAGGCATAGTGAAACCACAGAACAAAAATAAAGAGAAAATATTAAGAATAGCTACAGAGAAAACTATCTACAAAGTAATAACAAAAACTGACAATAGACTTTCAACAACAGAAGCCAAAAGAGTAAAACAGTACATTCAAAGTGCTGAGAGAAAATAACTATCAACCTATAATTCTAAATAGCTATCATTCAATAGCGATAGTGAAGTGGACATTTTTAGTCAGTGAGAGTTTACCATTTACAGAGCTCTGCTGAAACAGCTACTTAAAGAGGATATGCGCTTCAGGAAAAGAAACAATGAACTTAGGAAATGGGATACAAGAAGAAATTCAAAATACAAAAACAAAAACTGCCACCTGCTAAAGCTAGATCTCATACTTCTTTCTTAAGTAATCAATCAACCAAGACCAAAAAGACTTACCTGACCTCAATCTTTAAAATAAGAACAAACATATAGGCCCTACCCTTGATATACTATAACTCTGGGGAATAATGGCAGAATTTTTTTTTTAAGCCCACCAGATCAAAAGGTTTAAGAACCTCATATTCTAGCTTTTCCTTTATCCAGTAGTTCTGAGTATGGTTCCTCAAATGGCAGCATCACCTTTACCTGGGAACTTGCAGAAATGCAAATTATCAGGACCGACCCTTGATCTAATAAATTAGAAATTCTAGAGATGAACTCAGCAATCAGGCTTTATTGAACTAGCCCTCTAGGTGATTTGGATGCCAGCGCAAGTTTGAGAAGCTGATTTAGTCTCATGCCCGTATTACATGGTCCATACTTCTACATGAACAAATCCTATGCTGTTGTTCTGCCTACAAAATCTTTCATCCTCTAGAGCAAGCATGTCAAACTCGCTGTGAGTTTGACATGCTTCCTTCAGAGCAATGTATCATGGCTGACCAATTTCCATATATTTTTAATTTCTTCATTCAGTTTTCTTTTCATCTTTGCCTTAACTAAACCTGGTCCACCTCTCTCAGTGTGTCCTCACATAAAGGCTGTTCACTTTCCCAAACCCCATGTACCTCAGGGTCTGGAAATTGAGACCCACTCGTTCCCTAACTCCCTATAACTCCAAAAACATCTAGATAAAAATCTCACCTTTTCTGAGACTCTTCATTCTCATGGCTTCAGCTGCCAATGTGTACGATATTCACTTCCAAATGTCTCTCACAATGCTGAGACCAGAAGAACCCACTATCTACCTGACACTTCCATCTGGATGTTCCAGAGAAAGTCAAATTCAATAATAAAAATCCGAACCTGCTATGTTGCCCAATTCTGGTCTTCCTACATTTTCTAATACAAAGAATGGCATCACCATCTATTCAATTTTCCAAGACCAAAACCTGGAAATCATCAATGGAATCTCTTATTCAAACCTTAATCACCAATAGTAATCACCAACAACTATCAATTTCACCTTCCGTAAGTTCTCTAATTCTCTCCGTCATAATTGTTACTGCTACTGTATAAACAGTCTCTTAACGGCTCACTCTCCCTCCAGTGTTACACTTTCCCAACTTGTTTTACAGTCTCCAAATCTCAAAAATATTTTTAAATCAAGTGATACCTTATGGGATGTGAATTACGTTTCAATTGTTTTTAAATATATATTTTTTTATTGATAATATTATAGATATCTCCCATTTTCCTTCCCTTTACTCCCCTCCTTCCAGCCCCTCCCCTCCCAAGGTATGTTTCAATTTTTAAAAATCATGTTGGCATATTTAAATTTTAACACTTCTATTCTAAATCCATCATCACTCAATACTACAAGAGTTTGCACCTAGTTCTTTTACTCAATTGTGAAGGGTAACCAACTTATTGATAGCCTTATCACAACTGTGTAGCACACAGAACGTCAAACTAAAAAGGAATTATCAAATTAAACCCAAATTAATCCTTAAAATTTATGAGAACTATAACTCTCACATATATGAACTTTACTGCAATAAATTTTAGTTTTTGTTATACATAAACTAAATGCCCGGTGCACGAAATTTGTGCACGGTTAGGGTCCCTAGGCCTGGTCAGCAATCAGGGCCGATTGGGGCCTTCTGGCTGCCAGCAGGGACCTCCCTTCCCCAGCAGCCAGCTGGGGCCTTCCTTCATTCTGCGCCGCCCCCTGGTGGTCAGCGCACATCATAGCGAGCAATCAAACTCCCGGTCTCCCTGTCAAACTCCTGAGGGATACTTTGCATATTAGCCTTTTATATATATAGGAACTTCAACATGTTTATAAGATGAGCAAAATAAGAACACTGTAAAAAATTGGGGAGAAATCCATGGAGAAAAAACCATTTCAGATCTTAAAAAGGAAAAAAAAAAGAAAACTCACCATACACACCTATAGAAGGACTAGAATTGTTCATGGTAAAAGGTCCGTTAATGATGCCAGAAGAAAGAAGCTCATCAGATCCCCGCTGAAAAGCAAAAGTAATATTCTGTTAATAAAACAAATCCCAAATAACGATCCATATTTACTACTAAAAACATAAAAGTCAGTAAATTACTTCACCTGAATATCAAGGCATTTAAGGGGAAGTACTCAAGAATCACAAAGGCTAAAGGTTGGAAGTGAACTTTACAGAAAAGAAAAATTACTGAATATCTACATGACACTTATTAAAAAACAGAATGGCCATTACATAACTGGAGGCATAATCCTGAACCTTTTTTGATTAAACCCAATCCTCTGACATGCTACATGTGAAGTACCAGAAACCATATTTAGGATTTCCATCCTGATTGCTTCTGTAGTGTGTGTGTGTGTGTCTATATATATATATTTCTTTATTGATTTCAGAGAGGAAGGGAGGAGAGAGATAGAAACATCAATGATGTGATGAGAGAGAATCATTGATTGGCTGCCTCCTGCACACCCCACACTGGGGATGGAGCCCGCAACCCAGGCATGTGCCCTTGGCCGGAATTGAACCTGGGACTCTTCAGTCCGCAGGCCGATGCTGTATCCACTGAGCCGAGCCAGCTAGGGCTGTAGTATATTTTTAATTACACTTAGTACATTAAGAATATTTAGTATATTAAGTATGTTAAGTTTTTATAATATATGTGAATGCAAATATTTTGTGCAGCACTCCCTAAGAATTCTGGTTTTTTGATACCTTCTTTTTGAGGTTGGACACAAAGATGTAATTTATTTCTATATTGGCCAAGTTCTTTTATTCACTGATTATTTTTTCCATCCATTAATCTTCAAAATGATCTTTAAGGTGTACTATTTCTTAAACTACTATTTAAGTAAATACTTACTCTGTTTTTCAGGTAAGAGTTTTGACCAATTCCAAATCTGAATGGTCAATGCCAAAGGAAAAGTTAGATAGACTTTTCATTATAACCCTAAGATCTATTACCAAGATTTAAGTTTACATTTAAGAAGGATAATAAATACTATGCACAGCCCTAACCAGTTTTGTTCGGTGGATAGAACACTGGTCCACAGACTGAAGGGTCCAGGGTTCAATTCCAGTCAAGGGCATGTACCTCGGTTGCAGGCGGCAACCAATCAATGTGTCTCTCTCACATTGATGTTTCTATCTTTCCATCTCCCTTCCCTTCTCTCTAAAAATCAATGGAAAAATATCCTTAGGTGAGGATTAACAACAACAAAAATACTGTGCACAGTGTTAAAACTAACCTATTTAAAATGTTACTATTTGCTTAACTTGGTCAATTTTTAAGAACAAATATTTTGGTCTACTAGGTGATAAAAACTTAATCCCCAAAATATCCTACAAATATTAGAGAAGCAAAAGTGCCACAACATATATTTAATGTTTAGGTGTAAGTATCTCTTCTGCAAGGAACAACTTCAGTCTTTGCTGAAGAAAGGCAAACTTCTAATGTGTTTGCTTAATAGAAACACAATTATTTAAACAATTTCTGTACTACACATCTAGAAATTATTCTCTTTGGTTCTTTCACTATAAGTTTACAGAGACAGCTTGGGACAAGAGAAAGAAATTAAGTAAGCTCTAAGATAAAATAAAACTGAAACTCAAATTTCAGAAAGATGGAAATTATAGCCTCACGTATTCCTGATAACATGAGAAATAGTGATGTTGGTAGCCAAAGATCGTTGTTTACTGACTTCCTACGGATATGGAAAGGTGAATTTTTGCAGTTTTAAATGTAGTGAAAATTTTAAAAATGCCCAACATGTTTTTATATTAGAAAACAGATATACCTTCTATACGTATGTGAATTTAGTACCAATGTTTCTATATGTAAATTGAGTTAATCTGATCTTAGAAACCACTTAGAGATCATTTTAGCTCTTTTCTAGACTTGAAGGATTATGTTAAAATGCCAACTAAACATTAATTCTGTGTGGTTTGCAGATTGAAATGTAAAAAGCAAAATAACAAGGACTCTAGAAAATAATGAAAGTGGCTATCTTTATAATATTGGAGCAGGGAAAGATTAAACAAGAAACAAAAACACAATTATAACGGAAAATATCAATAAACTAGACAACAATGAAATTCAGAATTTCATTTACAATAATATACAAATATTGAATCATTATGTTGTATGAATCTAATCTGAAACTAAAATATGTCAAATATATCTCAACTTTAAAAAATTTTAACAAAAGACATCATTAGCGGATTAAAAAGGCAAGTCAAAGAATGAGAGTAAATATCTTCACTATCTATACCCAACAAAAGATTTATATCCACAACTTACTAAGAAAAAAGGAAGAAAAACTCCCCACAAGGGATTAATAAGAAACAGAGAAGAATAACAGCCTTGGTCGGTTTGGCTCAGTGGATGGAGCGTTGGCCTGCGGACGCAAGGGTCCCAGGTTCGATACCGGTCGGGGGCGTGTGCCTTGGTTGCGGGCACATCCCCAATGGGGAGTGTGCAGGAGGCAGCTGGTCGATGTTTCTCTTTCATCGATGTTTCTGACTCTCTATCCCTCTCCCTTCCTCTCTGTGAGAAAATCAATAAAAATAAATAAATAAATAAAGAATAACAGAACATGACAAGAGAATTGAACAAGCACTTCAGAAATAAGATGGTAGACTTTATTACTATTCCAGAGTATTTGGCCCTCTGTTTTTTTCTGTGAAAAAACTATTCAACCCCAACAATGGCCATGTGACTTTTAATGCCTCCTGCGAAAGGAAAACACCTCCCTGGTCTACTGACACTGAGTATGGTTTTAAGATATGCCTTGGCCTATGGAATATGAATGGACATGATCTACACTAAATCCAAACAGAATCTTCAAAAGATAGTAGTTTTCTACTAGTTTTCCCCCTTTACCTCTGAAACAAGAATATATCCTAAACAGGGGCTGCTCTTTCAGCATGATTCCTAGAACAAAAACACGTATAGCTACGTAAGGACCACCAACATGGTTAAGTAAATAAACGTATTTTTCTCAGCCACACTGAAATAACTAATACCATATCCAATAAACATATACCAAAAAAATGCCTAACCACTTTGGTCATCAGGGAAATGCAAGTTTAAACCACAATGAAATACTAGGATATTAAAAAGGCTGAAATATCAAGTGTTAATAAGAATGTAAAGTGACAGAACTATTACATATTGGTAGAGGGAGTGTAAATTGGGACTACTTTGGAAAAATGACCCAATCTACTAAATTTTATTATATGGAATATCCTAGGATCCCTATGTATTTATTGTACTCCTATGAACACACACAAGAGATTGTCTGCTTATGTGCACCTAAACATCTGAGAATGTTCTCAGCAGCATTATTTCTACAAGCCAACTGGAAACATCCTAATGGCGTTAAGTATAAAATAGATGAATAAACTTTTGTAAATGTATTCAACAATTTATAGCAATGAGAATGAACTACTGTTGCTCCACACAATAACATAAATGAATCTCACAAACATAAAAAGTCACAAAAGAATGTCCAGCCAGCATGGCTCAGTGATTGAGCATCAGCCCAGGAGGTCACAGCACATGCTCAGGTTGTGGGCTCGATACCCAGTAGGGGGCATGAAGGAGGCAGCCGATCAATGATTCGCTCTCATCATTGATGTTTCTCTCCCCCTCTCCCTCTCCTTCTCCCTCCCTCTCTGAAATGAATAAAAATGTTTTTTAAAAAAGGAATGCATGCTATTATTGCATTTAAAGAGAGTTCAAAAATATAGTCAAAACTAAATTATACATCGAAACTATATATCTAAATGCAAAAGATGGAAGTTGTATACCTTTTTCACACCATATACAAAAATTGACTCAAAAAGAGTGTATACCTAAATGTAAAACTTTAAAACTCTCAGAAGGAAACACAGAGGTAAATGTTCTTGGATTTGGGTTACGATGCTAGGGTCCAACCCCAGCGGGTCCAGGGGTCCCCAAAGGTGTGGATGGAGTGGGCGAAGAAGGAATGACACGGAGACAGCGTTCAGTTGATCAGCAGCCTTGCCAGGATCTCTAGCCACAATCTCCAGCCAAGTTCTATGTCCATGTTCTCTTGCTAGGTTCTCCAGCCAGGTTCTCCAGGTTCTCCAGCCAGGTTCTGTAGCCATGTTCTCTCGCTAGGTTCTCCAGCCAGGTTCGGTTTAGGTCTTGTTACATCTGTATTTATACCAGTTGATTCAATCCTATCAATCTCTATTCCAAAGGTTAGGGTGTTTCTTATCTCCATTCCAGGGAGTAAAGATTATGTAGCTTAAGCATGATTGTTCGTAGTTAAAGTGATTAATTACCCGCCTGGCACTTAAGAGGTTTTATTCCCTCCCTAACTTCAGGGGAAAATCCCTACCTGGGGAAACAACCTTTCTCGGAGAGGTGACCTTGGTTAAAACACATAGTGCCAAGAAGGTGAGCAAACATATTAAGAACAGTATGCCATATATGCCAGGTCCCTTGAAACAGCAAGGATGGACCGGCTCGCGGCATTACAGAAGTGGTTTTTTAACACCAAAAGCACAAGTGACAAAAGAAAAAAAGATAAATTATACTTCATAAAAAATAAAATCTATTGTACTTCAAAGGACACAATCAAGAAAATGAAAAGATAAGCCAGAAAATTAGAGAAGATACTTGAAAATCTTGTAACTTACAAGGGACTAGTATTCAGAACATATAAATTCTTAAAACTCAATAATTAAAGACAGCCCAATTTTTAAGAAGGCAACGATTTGAGCAGGTACTTCTGCAAAACAAGATGTACAAATAGCCAATAAGCATATTAAAAGATGCTCAGCATTAGTAATCCTTAAAGGATATGCAGGAGAAATCAAGATGGCGAC